AAAAAAAACACTGCCAAATTTTAAGTGATTGATGAGAACAGCAGACTACCTCATGCTGCACAAAGCAATTTTTTCCTTCCCTTCCCCTGACAATTACAATATAAGAACATGTTTATTAGTGTCTTTAAACTGTAATTTCAGTAAGCTTAAAAATATATTTTTAGAATCATGCTGCAGACAGAACTGTGGACAATGCTATTTTCAGACTCACCCCAACCCCAGAGACAGAAAATAAAATGTTTTACTTCATTCTCTATCACAATTTAGATTAAAAATCTGCTTAGCTGAGAAGGAAAAATGACTGAACATCATTCAAAAGAAGCACTAATTTCTCAAGACTATCCACACTGCAGACAGGCTGCCTTATGCAGTATAGATGCTATTTTTGGCAAGTGATGCAATAGCTGCAAGGGCTCTCCCAGAACCTTTAATTTAAGAGCCCAAGCCATACTAAAACGTGTTTCAAGATACCTAATAACCCTGCATTGTCACCTTCCCATTCTCTGCACCAGCATATTACACACATAAGTCACCCTTTTTTAAGTTTTATCTTCCAAGAAAGAGACAGATTTTACATGTGAAGAGAAAATCTGTATCTATACATCCATCAGCAAATACACCTGCCCTGCACTATATGTGACAAGAAAGTTACGCAACACTGTATAGATATTTTCTGACCTCTTGAATTTCTATTGAAATACAAAGCAGCTTGATTTCCTTGCTGAATTTTTGTGAAGACTTTGAAAAGCCCACAAAGCTAATACATCTAATCCTTCCAAAAGCTGTTTCCTTTCTTGGAGATCTTTTTAGACATTCTTGTGTCTAACAGACAACTGTTAAGACACATTTCTGCTATATGACTGTTTCAACAGCTAAAAATTCTGAAAAACAAGGAGAGTTCCTGAAATGCTAAGGCTTTTTAAATTATTTTTAAAATAGAATAGGGAGTTTCCAGCCCTTTGGATCTGTGGATCCTTTATGTTCTGCAATAGCCACATGGACTTCTATGTAACAGATTCAAGCTTATGGATAAGTTTTGCGCTGACCCCCTAAAAATTCTAGTTCTACCTGCTCCCTTCCAAAAAACCCAGAGTTAATCCCAAAGTCAGAATTACCCAAGAAACTACTTTTGTTTGACCTCTTACCTCCAGGGGCCTATGGGAGAGGAAGACATGCAACAGCTCTAAAAAAAATACACCTTGCATTTTGAACTTGTGGTCATAGACAAAACATATTAATAAATCCATTAGCCCAACCTGCTGCTATGCAGAATTTGAGTCCTTTGCTTAACACAGGCAGGGGACATATAACAGCTCTTACCTACTATTTCAGACCATCCATTTATCACTCATGGCCAGCATTTAGGGCTCAGGAGGAATTTGCCTATGTATATCATGTTTCCAGGTTTTACACCTCAGATCCTACAGTGCATTAACAGATTGTGATAGAGCCAAGATCTTCCCCTCTTCATGAGTTCTCATCATGTCACATACCACCCAAGAAAGAAATAGGAAAGCTTGACAACTCTCTACTTCTTGTTTGAAGCAGTAAAGTTCTGCCTCCCCACCACCCACACTATACATATTTACTTCTTTGCCCTCCAACACAAGCATGGGGAAGCCAATGTAGGGAGAATTTGTAACATCTGCAGCCTATCTGGGAAAAAGAAATCCAGCTGAAGAGAGGTGAGGCTTGGAGAGAATTCATTCAGAAGCTCTCTCAGAGATCCTGACTGCTCAGAAGTACAACAGAAACTGAGCAGGAAGACACCTAGTGATATTTTATTCATTTTGGCTAGAAGCAATGTTAAAACAAGCTGTACACTGAGAAGGTAGCATTTGCTCTAGGGACACAGAGGAATGAAAATAAGGACTCTGCAGAACAGCTGAAGTGGCAACAAGACTCATGCCCAAATCATGCAACCTGCTCAAAAGTAAGGAAGTTGAAGCACAGAGAGTTCCATATCTGAAACCCCTAAACAGCAGTATGGGAAACATCACACTGGGAATTTTACGAGGAAGACGACAAGTGCAGAATGCCAGTTCAGGCCCTTCAATGTATATACAACAGGAAACAAGTGTACAAACATACATCTGCTCCACTCCTGCACTACAGGAACAATGACAAGCCAGGAGACCAGGCCAGTTCCCATAACCAGTTCCTAGTGGTTTTACTGAGACAGTAAAAGCACAGCAGCAGCACAAGATGTCATGTTAGACACAAAGAGGAGAAACACTAGTGTCATGAGAGGCTGAAATTGCTGCTCCCTTTCACCCAGCCCACTGCTCCTCACTTGAGGCTGCAGAACTGTGGGACTGCAGGACGTTCACAATCCTTATTATATCTCTATGCAGCTTGTCTAAGATAAATGCAGATTGAAATTGATGTGACCACTACAGGTAAAAGCCTCCAGCACTTAAAAGGGATAATAAAATTGCAAGGTTTAGAATAGGAAGCCACCTAGGCTAATTAGCAAAGTAGTTCACATTAAGCAAGAATGTGAACTCATCTTGTTTAGAGATAACATTCTACTAGAAGATACAATAATATGCTTCTATTCTTACTGAATGGAAAGATCCAAAATGTCAGGTCACCCAAATCTTCAGTTTCCAAGGACAAAAAAAAAGTGGACTGGACCATTTAAGCTGCCTGTTGCTATCCAAGACACAAAACAACATCAAATATGACCTTTTCCCTGCTACTATGGAAGGAAGTATCTGTGCAATGTTGCTCAAACCAACTGCTAAAGTAGTAGAGAAGAAGACACCCCTCAGGGTGTCCTCTCTCACAGGTTCAAGCATGACTGCATGCACTCCAAGATCCATAAGAAGCTCGTAAGCATGTTTACACTATGCTAGGAATGGCTCTAAACCTTTTATAATCTCTAATTCTAAATAAGACTTATTTCTGTTAAAAATGGACCCCTCTCCATTTCCAGTTGTACCGGAAACAGCTTCTCATGGATTGTCAGAGACAAAGATGGCTTCGGGAGTATATTTAGAAAACAATGTTCTATTAAAAGATGTAAGACCAAACACAGATAAAAGATGCTGTTAGCTGCAAGTCTTTATCCAGTTGTCGAGATCTTATAAAGGTAATTCTTTAAAATGTAGAGAAGTAGCACTAGAAGAATGTAAATTTCTAGCATCTTTGAAAGTTACCTAATTATGATGAGAAACAATCTATTCAAAGAGATGGTTTATACCAAAAAAATAAACATTGAAGTTGATGAAAAGCCATTAAACTTATCTTCAAAAGATACATAGCCTACAACAAGCGTGAGGTACTCCACAGTGTTTTGTTTCAAGTCCACGTTTTGCCTTCTAGCCTTTGCACTGGAAACCGATACAGAAGGGCAATTTTGTTTAAACTAGAAGTCAGCCGATCATGTTGCTTTTGTGCACTGCAGCTGCGGAGCAGCGGCTGAGCCCAGCCCGAGCCGCGCCTTTCAGAGCCGGACTCGCCTCTCCGCATTGAGCCGCGCTCGGGCCTCAGCAGCGCCCTCTGCCCGCAGCCGACGCAGGAGCAGCGAGCGGACCCGTCTCCTCAATCGAGCACAACCCACCATTCATAAAAAGGGGGTCGCGCAGAGCTGAAAGGCAACGATGCAGTGCTGGAAACAGAGTAAATCTGAGCACTACTCTGTGGTTTTTTTGACCCTAAAATATAGATACAGTTTTAGCTAAAATGAGCATATTTGGTAATTATTGTTCCACTGAGGTCCCTTTCATCCCACGCTCTTAATTACATTTGCTTTAATTGAATATTTTTATCTATCGGGGGGGGGGGGGGGGGGGGGAAGGAGATGAATATAATATTAACACGCCCAAGTTAATCAATTTAGAAGGCCACAGCTGTCTCATGAGAAATGCCCTCGATAAATTACCATCACGCATTAGGGAGACTCTTACGTTAAAGCGCTCTAGAAATCCTGGTCTGTTTTATTCGTATCGGCACTGTTTTGCAATAGGTGTTTGCCTTAAAGATTTAAGGAAGAACTCGGGCAACACTGCCTTTGCCTTCCCGTTTCTAAATAAAGAAACGCCCACCGATGCCTTCTATATTTCACTCCCAGCTCTTGAAAACTTGCAGTATTTCCCCCGGTGGAAAACTCCTCAGATTTTCCCATGGAAATAGGGCTCCCATCAAGCCTCCTTAAATGTTTCAGCTACAATTGATTCGATGCACTTTCTTCTCCCTGGCAGAGCAGGAAGGCAGAGGAAGCGCCTGCGGGCACTGCATGGGCTGGTGCAGGCTGCCCTGGCCCCCCCGGCCGCACGTGGACCAGCCAGTGTCCCTGTCAGTGTCCCTGTCACGCGAGGCGGCCGCGGACCCCAGGCTGGCGTGTCCCCCCTCCCACGGGGCAGCGGCGGGGGATGGCGGCCCCTCCGATTCACTGCCCGCCCGGCTCGCCGGCAGCCGCTCGGGAAACTTCGGGAGGAGGACAAGGGGAGAGCTCCCGGCCGGGGCAGCCCGCCTCCCCTCGGGGCGGGCGGGGGGGGGGGGAGCGGGGGCGGCTTGGGAAGAGCGGGAATGCAGGCGGAGGAAGCCAGGCGCCCCCGGCCGGGTTCACAGCGGCCCCGTCACCTCCCCACAGGGTCTGAGACCCAGCCCCCGTGATGGCCCCAGGCGTTCCTTGAGCGGAGCGGAGAGAGCGCGTTATGTCACCGGTTAGGTAACGGCGCGGGAGCCGCCGCAGTGACGGCACCGCTCCCCCGCCCCCGCCCGCCGCGGCCGGGGCGGCTGAGGTGAGGCGGCGTTAACCCTTCGTGGGGGCGGCCTCCACCCGTGGGGAGCGGGTCCCCCGGGAGCGGGGCGGGCTTCCCCACCGCCCACCGGAGGCCGCGGGGGCGAGGCCGATGCCGCGGGAGGGCGGCGGGGCGGCCCCGCGGGCCCCGAGCGCCCGCATCTCCCGCGCGCCGCGCGAGGCCGGCAGGGGGCGCTGCGGCGCCGCGGCGGGCGGGGGAGGGAGCGGACGGACAGACGGACCGACAGACGGACGCGGCACCGACGGCGCCCTGCGGCCCCTTCTCTGCGCCCACGCGTGATGCCCCGGCCCGGGCGGCGAGGAGCACGTCCTGTTCCCACACACTCATCCCAGCACGCCCGCACCACGGCGCGCACTGCCATCAGCCCTCTGGCACTAAGAATGCACGTCACCGGGGCGCTGGAGATCCCCGTTGCTGGCCGGTAGCCGACCCTTCCCGAGCGCCCGGCTTCCAGCAGCACGAGCCCGGTGCCACCAGCGCGCCCTTCGCAGCCCAGCCCAGCCCACGTGTGCTCAGCTGGGGCCCAGCCGATAGCATTCTCCATATCCCTCGCTGCCGCCTGCCCCAGCGGTTCTCCCCAGCCGGCCTTCACAGAGGAGTCTGAGCTCGCTGCCAACAGCCCTGCGTGCTCGTGTCCCAAACACAAGGCAGCTCGGCACACGTTCCCGGCAGAGGGAAGGACCTCCAGGCCAGCCCGCATTCCACATGGATTTCAGGTCCCACTGAACCCTGCCTCCATCAGGGAACACTGGCACAGACGCAGCACTGTTCACCATGTCCTCAACATGTACTTTGCTCCTGGCAAGGTGGAGACTTCTATGGATAGTCACACCAAGAATGCAGCAACCCCCTGGGAAGGTCCACCACAATCTCCTTCCAAGGTCTTCACTGCAATCTCTCCAACCTCCCTTTTTATTTACACAGTCCACTCAAGCAAGTGGCAACAGGACTCTTCAGCTTGTCCCAAGCTAGCAGACCAGTAGTCATGGCTCACAAAAAAGGTAGCTCAGAGGAACTTCCAGCAACACCTTCTGTCCACAGGTGCAATGCTATGAAGGGGGAATAGCCTCAACTAACTGCCTGAATTCTCTGGAAAGCCGCATCCACAATAGGGTGCACCCCACTGGCTCCCCGTTTGACTTCAGGTACCTCCTGCCCCATCTCCCTCCTATTTGATCCTTTCCTTCCTTTTTTGACATCCCGTCCTCGTAGCTCCCCTATCCCAACTTTCCAAAGACTCTTTGATTTAGAAAAGCTTATAAGTTCCACAACAGAAAAGGTTTTCAGTAGTGCCCCCCCCCAACTCCTCTCTGAGTGAGACTGGGGGCCAAGTATTGAACTTCCCTCTCTGGTCCAAGAGAAAATCCTCCTTTAGAAGTTAGACATTAGAAACAATGGAGGTTGTTCTTACCACCTCTGCATAGACTGATCTTGGTACCTTTAGTCCACTGATCAGAACCACAAAAGAGCTTTATTACCCACAGGTCCTTCTAGCTCTCTCTCAAAAGACCCCTCAAAATTGCGCAAAGCTCCCTTTCGCCAATGGGAAACACTCCAGCACCTCTGCTGCTCTTCTTCAGGTCCTGCAAACCTTTCTTACAATGTGTTCAGACAGCTAGTGCCACCTCACCAAAATACTGCCGTTCCACAAGCACCAGAATGTGGACAGGACGAACACGGGCCAGCTGGGGCACAGCACAGTCTGGTCGGGTCACTGTTAGAGGCCGAGCAGCCCACTGCACATGCAAACTAACACAGCACTGAACTTAGGTACATCATTCATGCTGAAAGTCGCCATTGTGGCTAGAGGAAGTAGCTTGTATCAAAGGAACTAAGACACCTTAAGGAAGAGAGGGAGAAGGGAGAAAGGAGGAGAAGGGAGAAAGGAGGAGAAGGGAGAAAGGAGGAGAAGGGAGAAAGGAGGAGAAGGGAGAAAGGAGGAGAAGGGAGAAAGGAGGAGAAGGGAGAAAGGAGGAGAAGGGAGAAAGGAGGAGAAGGGAGAAAGGAGGAGAAGGGAGAAAGGAGGAGAAGGGAGAAAGGAGGAGAAGGGAGAAAGGAGGAGAAGGGAGAAAGGAGGAGAAGGGAGAAAGGAGGAGAAGGGAGAAAGGAGGAGAAGGGAGAAAGGGCTTTTTAAAGAACAGTATCATTACTCCAAGATTTAGGAATAAGGGCAAAAGTTCAGACTGCAGAAAATCCACAGCTAATAAGTATATGCATATAGTACCACATTGGGCATTAAAAGTTTTGAATGGCATGCCATATGACCAATTCCCCCCAAAATAAGACCCTGAAATGAAAATGTAAACCAATTTCTACAGTAAAGGCTATTTTAAAACAATATACATTTATGAAATAAGATATACTCTTACTCAAATCTACTTCCTCACTTTGTACAGAATTTGTGCTGAAAGTAAGTTTGAAGAGACAAATTCTAGGTTATTGTACAAGAAACATGGTTTCAATCCAAAGCTTACTTACAGCGACTGAAACAAGCTAGTCTATACTGGTATGTCACACTAACATTTCTCTGAACAAATGCATTATTTTCAGATGTTGCCAAGGCAATGTTTTATATCAGCAATTCTACACTTCAATTTAAACAAAACCAGCAATAGCATAGAAGTGACAAATCCAGCTGTGATGAGATGCTACCACAATTCTGCATAGGTGGCAGCTTGAAAATCCACCTCTTTCATTTTACTAAAATTTCTTGGATTACAAAGACTTTTAGATTTACAGATTCCCTACCACATCCCACATCCCATTTTCAAACACTGTAAAACATCAAGATTTTGGTTAACAGAACAAGATCCTGAAATACAGCCAAACACAACCAGTCTGTCCTTAAGGACAAGATCACAGAAAGAAAAGAATACTAAACTACTGTAGAAGGAATGACAAAAAGTTTTATGTCTTAAAATTAATACCCTAGCTATCAAACCAATACAAGACCATTATTCTAGTTTTGGAAAAGGAAAGGAGCTAGTTAAATCTGTTAGCAAGGACTTCCAAAACCATACTCTGCAACTCACAAACAATCCTCTCAAACCCACAAGAGGTACATGCCACCCATCTTGACCCACAAAGAACCAAGCAAAACGGGACTCTGGAATAGCCCATTAAGATGGGACCAAGCAACAGAACTGAAAACACGCTCCTCCTGCAGTCTTAGGCTCCATTTCAGCCAGTGTAGCTGCAGGATGTCACCCTGCCATCCATTCTTACCTGCTTCCTCAGCATCTCTTTGCCAGTTGCTTTTCAGGCAGCTCAGTAAGCTGATCCAGCTACCTACAGCTGGTCTTTCTTGCAGAGTTAGTTGTCTGCCACACAAGCAGACCTCACTCACACCACCACAGCCACACATTGACTGGAGGCAACATAAGGGAAGCAGCGAGAGCTCACAGCCAGTGACTACAGCAGCAGCAATTCTTTTGGCAGCAGCCTGGTCTTGGAGCAATTCGAGCTGACCAATGGGCTCAACTGTATCCTCAATATATAGTTTCATAATACTGCCAGGTTTCCTTTCTGTTGCACCAGCACTGAAATTCATATGACCAAAGCAGTCTATGGAGCATAAATAGCCCCAAGTGACTAATTTTCTGCAGGGTAGACTCCTTAACCAGATCATCACACAAACAGACCAACATCAGTGCCAGCATAAGGAGGAAAAAAGCAAGAGTGGAGTTCTCCATCTACCTTCTCTCTTCACACCAAACTTTTACATCAGAAAGCCATGATGTAAAACCACACACTCAGTCTTGTGACTGAAGGCATCTCATTTATAAACTGACACCACTGATTCCAATGTAAGGGACATGAACAAGGCTGTGAAGGTTGGAGTGAACACCCAAGAACTGGCAATAAATAGCAAAGACGAAGAACCAGTCCACCAAATGGAGTATTCTATATCCAAATCTAGGAACCAACAAAAAGTTGTGGAGCCCCAAAAGTTTTGACATAGATCTGGGTCTACCAGGACAAAAATACTGAGGTAAAGAGCTGGTATTAGAACACCTGTAAAATGGTAAGAATACACATTCCTTTCTGCCATGCAAGACAAACACTAGCTTGGACATGCAGGACATCTGAGAGCAGGAACAAACTGCAAGACACCCTAACTCTAATAGCTTGTTCAACTACTGACAGGGTAGCAGCTTTTTCCAGCAGTGCAGTGATCGTCTACTGCCCTATCCTTCTCCTGGTTGCTGCTCCTCACTCCTGTTAGAGTCACTGAGTCACAGAATATTCTGAGTTGGGAGATCTGACTTTTAAGCCATGATGAATCACCTCTACTCGTCACACTCTGGAGATGGAGAGCTCTTGTGGCAGATAGGACTCAGACATCAGGAGTACTGTATTTTTCAAGAAAATATATTTGTGAAAAACAATAGTAAGTTACAAATTTATAACTCAAGCACCTTTGCTGGCAGGATAAGAATCCTGGGGAAGGGAGCAGATGGACCAGAGCCTATGGGAAACAGGTCTTCCAGAGATGAGAACAGATACAAGAGAAGAGTTTTGGAGAAACAGACCAGCCAGTCACAGACAAGGAACATGAAACTGGGTCTTTTTGGTGAAGTAGAGTACAGAGAAGAACAGCATGCAAGCGTTGATTGGGTAGCAGCAACTGCAGAACTATAGGTAGTTCTCCGCCTTCTGCTTTCTGTATCTACACACATTCTTCCACACCTCTGCACCTAAAAGCAGGGACTAGACACTTTGGAAAGAGATCAGATTCTTCAGTTTCTGCACAACAAGCTCCTCCCCTCAACAATAAAAACCTTTGCCCCACTGAGTTTATCCCTCATGTCCCAGTCCCCTTCTTTCATTACAGCCTTTCTCCCTTTCTGCTTCAGTGGTAGTCTTCTAACACACATGAAAACCCTTTGGAAAAAATCTTTGTGATTAACATCCCTAGAGCTGAGCTCCCCAACTCTGCTCTTCCTTGTCCAGTAAGTAGAGAGCTCCTCAAGAAGTGGAAGCCCAGCTGTTCCTCAGGTACTGCCATGATTGATGGAATACACCCTCCTAGAAAACACAGCTCATGATTACTTAGGAGGAGAAAACAGAAGCAAGGTATAAAAACCAGAAAAAAACCAAAGATGCAACCAAACCCAAATCTGTACAGTCAAATAGACAGTAAGTTCTGCACATATGCAAACCATGCTTGAATCTGAGCCACCCAGCTGTCTCCCACAACTGAGAAGCAACTGAGTCATGAGCAAAAAACAAGAGAACCCTCAAGAGAGAAAGAAGCAGGGAGGGTAATAAAAATGGGAAAAGAAATACAAGAAACAATGGAACAGGCACTATTTTCCCTGAGGCTCAGCTTCTGGACATCTCAACTCTAGTTTGAAGAACTGCTACATATGAGGATTCTTTCAAAACCCACAACCAAAGCCCAGGATTTTCGGTGTCACCATCTGTTGCTGAGGGTAAGGGAGTAAATTAGAAGCTCAGCAGGAAATTTTGTATATAGCTCTTTTGCCATGTTAGCTGGAGAAGTTTATATTGTGGATCAGGATTTTAGCTCTGCTAATGACTCACTCAGTGGCTGATGGTGTACTGCTCTAGACTTCAACTCCAGGAATCTGGAAGTTGCACAGATTGAAAAACAATATATCACATTAAGGTTAAATAATCAGGAGTCAAAAAAAAAAAAAGAAGATTTAAGATAGAATTCTTTGGTACAATTAAAAGTACTACAGGGGAAGGAACTCAAATTGTTCCAGTTCTAGCATTTTCAGATATTAATGTAATCAATCTGAAAAATCTTTTGCTTTTCTTTAGAAACCCTGGTTTTCTAAAGTCTACCAGTAAGTGAGCAATAGAAGTCATCTGAAACTACAAGCAGCAACCCTAAATCTAATTAGGCAAGTAATTAAACCATGCAAGCCCAACACGAGATGCTTTACCTACCAGTTATAGTGTTTATCCCATATTTGTATTCATATACAAGCCTACAGAATCACATTTGGCATTTCTGTTTGAATAATTAGGAGATACTTTCTTACTATCATCCCTTTCATAGCAGACATGATCATCCCAACCATATGTATTAGGGATGAATATATTCAGCCTGGAGGAGACTGAAGGAAGACCTCATCACAGTTTACAACTTCTTTGTGAGGGGAAGAGGGGTCTTCTCCTCTCCACCACCTCTCTGCGGTGCCCAGTGACAGGACCCAAGGGAATGCTCTGAAGTTGTGTCAGAGGAGGTTTAGGTTGGATATCACAAATAGATTCTTCACCCAGAGGGTGGTTGGGCACTGGAACAGGCTCCCCAGGGAAGTGGTCACAGCACCAAACCTGACAGAGTTCAAGAAGCGTTTGGACGATACTCTCAGGCACGTGGTGTGACTCTTGGGGATGGTCCTGTGCAGGGCCAGGAGTTGGACTCAAGGATCCTTGTGGATCCTTGTGGATCCCTTCCAATTCAGCATATTCTGTGATTCACAAGACCAAGATTCACCCACCTACCAAAAAATGATTCCCAGGTGGAATTTCCCCCAAACTACACTCTCAGCTCTGCCCTCACACCTTCAAGGCTTCCTAGCTTACTTGTTCTTCACACAGGAGAGTATTTACCCAACTGACAGTAACACCCAGCACAACTCCAGTTGGACTTCTTTGCTGGAGACACTTCTGTGCTCCTCACTTGTACACAAGGCCTTTCCTTGCTGTCACCAGGGTGCTTCCCAGATAATCTTCCCAAAGGGAGGGAAGTACACTGGACAAAAAAGGAAAACAAAGAAACGGGAGAAAGATACTACTCTAGATTACATCCTTGTATAAATTCTCTAGTTTTAATTAACCAGTTTCCATTACAAGTATCCCTACTTTAAAACACACAGAAGGTTGAGAGAATGAGCTGGCTTAAAATAACACAGCTATTCATCCCCCAGGCTAATAAATTTTCAAGCATTTCCCTCTCAGGCTGCTTATCAGAGATGGGTATTCTTTTCACCTTAATGCAAACATCTGTCCTCCACACATCATTAGCTTTTTTTTTTTTTGGAGGTAGAGAAACTGTACTACAGCATTTAACCCTTCTTCACATACATCTCTGTTCCTGCAGTTAAACACAGCAATGCCTGTTCATATTCTGAATCAAACTCCAGAGCTGGAGATTATGAGCCTGATTGATGCTGATTGATGGTGGTGCCCACACATACACTTTTAGCGTGCTGGCACAAGCCCGAAGTGGAAGGCTGAAGTCCATCAGCAGGGATACATCAGAACTGGAGATGAGACTGTGAACATCTGGGTGGAGTATTTGCTCTCCCACTCCTCTTTTGAGCACAGATTGCAAGAAGGAGCACTCAACGCAACAAGTGTTGAGCAATCCTACTAAGCAGAGATTTTAAACAGTGAGTAACATCATGTGCAAAGGAAAACACCTGAAAGATGCAGTCAAGCAGCAGAAATACAGCAAAATTGTAGAAAACAGCATTCCTTTACACTGTCAGGAAGCAAAACTAATTTTAGGATATGTTAGTAGCAGTAGCCTACGTAAAAAATACTAGAGAACCTCCCTGACTCACCAAGAGCTGCAAGGTCTCTGAAGGAGTTGCAGCCCACTCAAGCACCACACAATGCAAGCTGCTGAGTCTAGAGAAACAGGGTCAGAGATCCCACTTCTCCTGGGTTGCTCTGGAAGAGCATTGCTTGCTTAGTCCAACAAGGAGCAAGCGGGAGGGAGACACTGACAGAAGTCTTCTAAATTACCAACTATAAATAGGATTGATGACTAAAGGGAGACAGCTAACTTTTTTACAAGAGAAAATTCAGGATGGATACTTGGAAACATTACATGGCAAATAGGAAAAGCAAAAGCCACACACACTGGAGAAGCACTCCTGGGAAGTTCAGAGAGGATTAGGACACTAGCACCAGCTTGTTCTCAAAACCACTCTTCAATGCATAACCCTTCAGAAGCACTGTGCAAATAGCCATACAAAAAAGCAAAACATGCTCCAAGTTCAGGCTGCACATTTCTCTTGAGCTGTCACGATCACGAGTTAGTTACAAGCAAACTGGCATATTTTCACACTTTCTTAACATTACTTTCTAGGTTGATGAGTGCCATGCTTTATTTCACACAAGGGTAGAAGTGTTTATTGTAGAATTCAGAATGAAGAACAAGGCCAAAAAACCTTTCCAATGGATCCGAAGTGCTGAAGATGATAAATCTCTGAATAAGTGATTCTGCTAAAGAACAAAAGAACCAAAAGCTTTCCCTAAAGCTTTGCACACACCAGCCAAGCACTTGCATGCAGGGAAAACTGGGAGTTGGGCAGAGCCTACTAACTACACCGTCACCACACATTGCACTAGTGTTGCACAGTGATTTGTGCAACAGTGATTTGTGACATGGTCTACACTATATCACTGCACATTGTGAAACACCTGCAAATCAAGACTGCACTCAATTGTGCAACAGGGACTGAAAGCTACTTGCAGAAAACAAAGAAGCCTTCAGGTAACTATTTCACTTGATGCTACTGAGTTTGCAAAACAACATTGCTTGTGAAAGCTGCTCAGTCATCAACAAGTTAGCACATGGTCAGCACTAAAGTGAATGTTCTTTGTATGGAGTTCTTAAATTGTTGTTAACATAATTTATCATCTGACATTTCATTAATGATATCCCACGAACTTCATAAGGATCAGGGTCTGTTTCATAACACACCGTTTCCAGACACCACAGGAAGCATAATCTTATAGATGGAATCTAACTCAAAACATTGACAAGTACAAAATCCAGCTAGTCTTCTTCCTCTTCACATAAGCATCACATTTATTAATTTAATAATATTATTGTTAAGGTCTGACTTATAGAGCTTGTTATTACCCCAACCTGCTTGCCAGAGTTTGGGAATCACCCCTCATATTCTTAATTTTTAAAAGACCTGACCATAGAGACACAAATAAGTATCTACTCCACTGCTCATGTACCCAGTTACATACATTTTTCATGCCTTCCTTAGTGGCCCTGGTACACAAGTTGCTATTTTTAGATGCTGGACTGTGCATAGCCCAGGTTAAATAAAAGAAGCTAAAAGAAGCCGACAAGAAGGCAGAGAGGTTCACCCAGCTTTGCTGCTGCTCCAACAAGTTATTTGTTAAACATTTACACAGCAAAAGAACAGTTTAAGACTGAATAAGGGGGTTTTGTCTAAATTCAAATCACAGGAAGTTAGAGGGAGTTGAGAGCACCATCCTGATTAACAACCTCTTACAAATTCTTTTTTAGGAAATTTAGAGCAAATTGCCCACATTTAGTTAATTTTGCATGTTAGTGAATAAACTCCAAGAAGCTTAATTAAGGCAAACTCATCTTCACAAACGTTTGTTGGCCCCAATACAACTGTACAGCTGTATTCACCACATGAGAAAGCATCACCACTATCAGACATTTTGTAACCACTAAATGTACAATTATTCAACCATGTCTCTATCAAAGGCACTGGGGGAAGAAGTGGGTGCTTTTTTAAGCCATTGTGAGGCTTGAAAGAAAACAGGACTTTTCTTTGAGTGTCATATGGACAATTACACAATCAAAATAAACTTTGTTTCCACTTAACACATCACTTCAGTTACATCAAATCAGGGAAAAAATATATTTCTCATCAACATATTTGCGATTTTGAGCCAGGAAAAAAATAAATAAAAAGTTTAGGTATCTACACAACCAGGTATTGACACAACCAAGATGTCAGGCACTTTAGAGCACCAGATCAATACAACTTGCAGTGACAGTGTATTTTGAATATACAAAGTTGATTATTTGCATATAG